ACGGCTGGGACATGGGCAGCACTCGCTTCACGTGTACCTCTCAGTTTACAGGCATGGCTGCAAATATTCCAGTGCATGCTTGCCATAACATGTACCCATCATGTGGTACTGTATATAGGGCCCTAAGGCCTCTGGGTCATTCAAAAAATCCTGGGATGTCTCCAACATGCGCCAAAAATATAATGCCTATGATGGGGTCTCCCACTTTTTGCCTCAAAATCTTGGGAAAGAGCCTATGAATCTCCCTGGTATTTATTGCATTGTACTATGGGCATACTGCACATTGTATACATATTTTACACTTTGGGATTCTTAATCAAAATCAGCCAGAATACACACTTGGTGGGGGTGGGGAGATACTTTTGGCCGTCACTGTATCTTATGACAACATCAATTCATATCCTGAGGATGAGCCGCCTGTGATCGTAAATTACTCAAAGAGCATGGAGTCCAATGTAGATCCTGAGGCGTCAGCTGTAAATGCAAGCGAAGAAGATGAAGGTGCAGATGATGGAGCCTGTCCTTTTGTTGTGCATGGATTCACAGGTGCAAGCCTTGAACACATGGGACCCACATCAATCCGGTCTTGCGGACTGACTAGCGCAGCTTCTACTTGCTGCGCTTCAGCTGACTGGTCAGAGTGCCGGTCACTGAAGTGCGTGTTGATGGTAGTTTGTTCCATCGGCGGTTCTTCGCTGTCGTCGTCACCAGCCACTATTTGGGCTGGTCCTGTTATTGCAGTAGCCGGGGTATTCAGCTGCAGCATGTGCTGGTCCTCGTAGTCTTCATCATCCTCAAAGACATCGTCGAGGCCCAGTGCTACCAACGCATTGCTGATGTTGTGATTGGACTCCTCTTCAGCTTCGCGAACCTGTCGCTGAAGTTCCTTTTCCCTGCACCGAGAATCGCGCATGGCGTCACGTAGCCGCTGCATGTCCTCAGGTCTGAAGGACGTGCCCGTCGCTGCTTGCGCGGTGCGGCTGGGAGGCCTCGATAGTCGGCCTTCCTGTGAGCCACGCGACTGGGCGGTGGTGATCTTGGGCCAGTTGAACCCGGTCGTTCATGTGTAGGGGACCGGGGTCCATTAGTCCCCGGTGGTTGAGTTTGCGATGAACGAGCGTCGCGGATTTGCTGCCAGTCGTTGCCTACAGCCCCGAGAGTGGGACTGTTTATTGAAAACGGCAACTGCCGACTGCCAGGACGTGCACCAGGCGGATTGCTAGCGCCTGGTTCGGTGGTAGGAGAGTGTCCTTGACGACCACTGGTGGCGGTCGTCCTGCCTCGCGATGTGTCGCGAGGAGGCACCGTCGCGGTTGACGGGCCAGCCACGGTGGCACGTACTCTCGATGTTGGTCGAGAGGGTACCGCGCCTGACGTGGCACGGTCTAAAGGGTTGTGGTAAGGGGCAGAAGGGCGCGTCTGACGCCCTTCGGTGTTGGGGTTCTGTGACTGGTCCATGGTTGCTTGTTTGAGCGATGTCGGGCGGTTTAAGGTTAGAGTTCAGTAGTGATGTGGGAGACGTCGAGCCCCAAATCGGGCGAATATCACGGTAAGAGTAAAAAAGTGTAAAACTCACGTGTGGGGGGCGCAATCTGTTGCCCCTTTCCCGCAAGTACTCTAGTCCGGGCTCTATTGAAGCTCGGTGTACTCGTAGGATGGTGGGGCAGTTAGAAAGGCTGCCCGCACCAGGCGCACGGGTTCCGAATAACCGCACGCCGTACGCGTCTATCTAATACACTTGGGTAAGAGGGCCGTGTCCGGCAGGTACGATTGATGAGGATGTGGATATTCATTACAAATAATTATAATCATTACAAAGTTGGAGCAAATTTGAAGTCATACTTTCATATGTTGAAGAAAATTATGTGCCAACAATGATTACTTTGATTACAAAGTCAAACATTTAATATATATCTCATTCTAATAGCAATTACAAAGGACTACATTGATTATAAATGCTGAGGTAATCCTACTCTACATTCTGGTATATACAAGTACACTAACACACCTCTTGCCTGCTTTCTGAAGCAGGCTGGAGTCCAGGGTCAGTACATTACCCTCTGGCATAAGATCAGTCACAGTCTTCATCCCATCATGGAACCACACATCACCATGCCTGTCCACAACACGGCATGTGAAGTGGAATTTTCCAAAGTAGATCAGACCACACAGCCTATACCGCTCAGGATGATCAGGCAGTGTGACTTCAGTGCAAATGTCTGCCTTGATGTTGTGAATATTCAGTGCTATGAATGCTGGAGGCTCATCATATCTGATGCATTGATGGAGTGTGCGCTCACACTGGGGACACATCTGAGAAGTCTTCTGATTGAAGATGGCACCCATCCAGGCAGTCACACTCTGACCCTTGTATGACCCTCCCTTGTACAGGCTGTTCTTCCAGATCTGCTTGGATGTGTCCCACAGAATATTGCATGCACCCTCAGACTC